TTTTTTTCCCCAAATTTATCCTGTTTCCATTTTCAGGAAGTTGTGGGTTTTTTTTCCCCAATTTATTCTATTTCCATTATCAGTTGTGAGATTTTTCCCAACTTTATCCTGTTTCCATTAGCAGGAATAAATAAAGGTTTTTTCCCCAACTTTATCCTGTTCCCATTAGCAGGAGGTTGTGGGATTTTATCCCAATTTTATTCTGTTCCCATTAGCAGTTGTGGAGTTTTTTTCCCCAAATTTATCCTGTTTCCATTTGCAGGACGTTGAGTGGATTTTTTTCCCAATTTATTCTATTTCCAGTAGCAGGAATTTGTAAGATTTTTTCCCAAATTTATTCTGTTTCCATTAGCAGTTGTGGGATTTTTCCCCAATTTATCCTGTTTCCATTAGCAGGTATTTGTAGGATTTTTTTCCCAAATTTATTCTATTTCCATTAGCAGTTGTGGGTTTTTTCCCAATTTATCCTGTTTCCATTAGCAGGAGCTTGTGGGATTTTTATCCCAATTTTATTCCCATTATCAGTTGTGAGGTGTTTTTCCCAATTTATCCCGTTTCCATCAGCAGTTGTGGACTTTTTCCCAAATTTCTTCTGTTTCCATTAGCAGGAATAAATAAAGCTTTTTTCCCAAATTTCTTCTGTTTCCAGCAGCAGAACCTTACGGGCTTTTTATTCCCATATTTTTTCTCTTTTCCCCTTTAATGAGAGATTTATTCCCCCTTGTTTGGATCCGGAGCCCAAAGAATGACACGGAAAAGATTCCAAACCTTTGGAGTGGGATCAGCACCACCTGTCAAAACACGATTACAACTCTAATTAAACCACCAAAACACCTCCTTAGCCTCCCTATTAATTAATATTTATTATTCTTATTTAAAAATCCCCCTCAATCCCCCCTTTTCCAGCTGAGCTCTGGATGGAGCCACCCCTTGTTTTCTCCCTTATGGGAAAAACTGCTGAAAAAGGAATTTTTATATTTTTTTTTCCTGCTTTTTATGTCCTGGGAGGGAAGATTTAATCCACCTGTTTCCTGCTGGCCTCTTGCCCTGCTTTTTAGGCTCCCT